GGACAACAAAAGCATCCCTTTTTTAGTGGCCTCCAGTGCTGCTTATCTGGATCCTGCCTTGTTCTTTGTAGACAGCGGATCCCTTCCATTTGGTAACAGGAAAGGAATTCACGGTTCATGGAATGTATGATCTTCTAATGAAATTGATTGGCAGTCGTTTCGGGACAGACAAAAGAAAGTACTACGTCAGGCGGCCACGTAGTTTACTTTCAGAATTTGCTGCCTCAAGGCGCAATGATGTCTGCTGCCTTTAAAGGGGATTTGACAAATTCATGAAAGATCAGTTTGTCCGTGGCGAAATGAAACGTCCAGATTCAGAGACGGCATACTTCTGATGGGGACTGACTGCAGCGGAAGTTGACGCCTTTTATGGGTTCCTGGGAGGCATCTGGCTGCCTTGAAACACCATGTTGCGCTAGTCCAGGGATGGGAAAGCTGTGTGGACCTTTGTATGTTGGATTCCAACTCCCATCGGCCCCAGCCAGCATGACTATTGATGATGGGAGCTGTTGGACCACATCTAGAGGTCTGCAATACCTCAAGGGCTGCCTCTCCCCATATAAACTCTCCCCAGGGAGGCTCACCTGGCGCCTTCATTATATATCTTTAGGCACCAGGCGGAAATGCTCCTCTTCAACCAGGTCTTTGGCTGATGGCCTTTTAAATGTGCTTGTGAGAGGGGGCGGTATCGTTTTGTTGCTTCTTCTTTAGCTATATATTTGTGCGTTTATCTTTTATTTTTATATTGTGAACTGCCCTGAGATCTTTGGCTAAAGAGTGGTTTATTACTACTACTACTACTACTACTACTACTATTGCTACTGATGGGACGTGGGTGGTGCTGTGGGCTAAACCAGAGAGCCTAGGACTTGCTGATCAGAAGGTCAGCGGTTCGAATCCCCATGACAGGGTGAGCTCCTGTTGTTCGGTCCCATCTCCTGCCAACCTAGCAGTTCGAAAGCACGTCAAAGTGCAAGTAGATAAATAGGTACCGCTCTGGCAGGAAGGTAAACGGCATTTCCGTGCGCTGCTCAGGTTCGCCAGAAGCAGCTTAGTCAAGCTGGCCACATGACCCGGAAGCTGTACGCCGGCTCCCTCGGCCAATAAAGCGAGATGAGCGCAGCAACCCCAGAGTCTGCCACAACTGGACCTAATGGTCAGGGGGCCCTTTACCTTTAGCTTACTACTACTACTACTACTACTAATATAACTGAACTCAGGATCAGCCACCAGCATTCTTTGGCAACTGCTAAAGCTCCAGTATGCTAGCAGGGCCCATTGTTGACACCAGCACTGTTCTCTTCCTCAAGCCATTTTAATTCTGGGGCACTGTGGGAAATTGAAATGGAAACCTGACCCAGCCCCTGTTGGGGCACTATTGTTTTTTACCTCCAGCTAAGGCCCATTGATAGAAGAGGGATACAACTCCAAGCAAGTAGTATATGGTAATAAAGTGGTATAGAGGTATACTCAGCAGCGTTTGAATAATATGCGCACTTAGGTCCTAGGATGTGTACGGTTTGAAGTCACATGAAACTACCACCTTGCAGGTCTGGGTCTGCATAGTGCCTGGAAGGGTGGCTGCCTGGGAACCATGTGTACACTGCTGCCTTGGGCTCCATGATGGAAGAAAGGCGCAATATAAATGCAATAAAATAAAACATACAAATAAAAGGCAAATGCCAGGTGATAAGGAACTAGATGGATATTAAGTACCTGGGACGACCTCTTGATTTTTCTACTGAAAGTCTCCTGGTGTGATTGCTAGCTATCTTGCTCATCTCAGTCAGCCATGGAAGGATTTGTTATTCCATGTCTGATTGATTCTGGCATGGAGACGGTTTTACTGCTTGTCTGAAAAACTTTCTGTGCCAATCTGCAGATGACTGTGTTTTGTAACGGGCTTAGCATGTCTGATCTTCATTCAGCGGGGGTGGGGTAGCCAACTTGAACTGTGACACGAAAAGTACATCATGTAACAGCGATGGCAGTTGCTTTTTGATGTTAGTATGTAGAGAGAATTTATTTCAGCTAGAAAATTGGAGTGTGTGCTTGTAAGCTGTTTATGTCTCAGACATTTGTGTGTGTGTGTGTGTGTGTGTGTGAGAGAGAGAGAGAGAGAGAGAGAGAACGAACCCAGAAGGCAGCTTCATTTTTTCTTCATTTGTTCCTACCTATAAAGACGCAAGCCGTATTTTATACTGAGTTGTGGCATGTCTCTTTGGCGCTGGAAACTGCTATATCAAAAACAAAAAAGCTGTGTCTGCAGCCGATCATGTAGTCCTCTCCCCCCCCCCCCATGTACACATAACATCTTTGGATCTTGGCTGTATGATGCACTAAGATGCACTTACGTTTCTCTGGATCTCTCACAGAGTTTGCATATATTTATGAGGGTCTCACTTTGTATGTATGTGTGTGTTGTGCCTGCATAAAAAGAATTTGTTTCCCACCCCTTACACATCCTTTTTCTTCCTTTTTCATTTACATCCTGTGATTGTCCTTTGTCCATTTGTTTAGTGTAATGCGAATCAGCTTAGACTTATGCATGCCTTCTCTTTCCTCCCCATGCAGCTGGTTGGAGGTGTTCGGAAGCGTTTGCTTCTGTTTTTATTTAGCCATAGCTTGTTGTATCATTCATGCCAACAAACTGTTTCTAACATTAACTATGGTTTGTATGAAACAAGCCAACCTGGAACAATGTGCAAAATGGGTTTATTTTAACACATGGCCCTAATATTGCAGTGTCTTAAAAAATACCTATCTTCACAGAGAGGTTTTTCACTGAAAGGTGTAATATTTAAGAAGGCAGTCCAGAAACCTTCCTGCAGGACAACATGAACTTAAAAACGCAATAGATGACACCTCCAACTGTTTGCTCATATCTCATAATTTCCAGTGTGCGTCATTTGTACACATTTGAAAGGAAATTTGATTTGTACTAATTTGAAGTAAAATGCAAAAGGTAAATGGGATGCCTTTCATTTACGTGTGCTTTTTTTCTTCCTCACCTTGCAGAAAGACAAGTTCTTTGTATACGAGGAATATTGCAGCAACCATGAAAAAGCACTCAGGCTCTTGATGGAACTGAACAAGATCCCACCTGTGAGAGCATTCCTGTTGGTAAGCACTGGTGGTACCCAAACGGCACATGATGCTCAGTTATAGAAAGTTTAAAAATGCTGTATGATTACTGATAAGAACCTGTGCTTTTCATGCAGAAGGTCCCAGGTTTAATCCCCGGCATATCCAGGTAAGGCTGAGACAGACCCCTGCCTGAAACCTTGGAGAGCTGCTCCCAATCAGTGTAGTCAGTACGGAGCTAGAAGGATGGCGCTGTGGTCTAAACCACTGAGCCTCTTGCGCTTGCCGATCAGAAGGTTGGCAGTTCGAATCCCCGTGATGAGTTGAGCTCCCGTTGCTCTGTCCCAGCTCCTGCCAACCTAGCAGTTCAAAAGCACACCAGTGCAAGTAGATAAATAGGTACTGCTGTGGCGGGAAGGTAAAGGGCATTTCTGTGCACTCTAGTTTCCGTCACAGTGTTCAGTTGTGCCAGAAGCTAAACATGACCTGGCCACATGACCCTGAAAGCTGTCTGTGGACAAACGCCGGCTGCCTCGGCCTGAAGTGAGATGAGTGCCGCAACCTCATAGTCGGCTTTGACTGGACTCAATCGTCCAAGGCTCCTTTACCTTTACTTTTTTATGTAGATGGATCAGTGATCTGACTGTATAAAGCAGTTCCTATGCCCCACACAAAAACACACACAAAGCAAAGTATAGTCATAAATACTAGTCTGTAGCAGAAGACCACCAGCAGAGAAGGGGCTTCTTCATTCTTTCCCCTTTTGGCAGTTGTTCTCTTTAAACTCATTCCCAATCCGCTCTCAAGCCAAGAGGAAAACATACATTGGTTGAAACTTGTTCAAGGGCTATGATCTAAAATGGGTTGCAAATGCACTGCCCTCCAGATGCTGTTGTGCTACAGCTCCCATCATCCCTTACCAATGGTGGCTGAGGATGATGGGAATTGTGGACCACAGCATCTGAAGGACATTAGGTTAGCTCCTGTTGGTCCAAAGACATTTTGATATAGCAGCTTTGTTGAAGGTAAGCATGTTTGAGTCTTGCCAGGTCTGGGCATCCTTTGTATGCTACTTAAGAGTTAGAAGATAAATAATGAAAACAAACTAACTGATTCAGTTGTCTTTAAACTGTGTGGGGCCTCAGTAATTTATTACTAAGTTTGGTGTGCACCTTTTGTGGTATCCTCTTCTGTTTGTTTCACAGGCTGATCCCTTCTCTCCACCCTCTTTTCAGTTCCCTTTTCTGAAAAGCCATACTTCCCATTTCTGATTAATTTGATCTGCCAAGACGTGTCACTTCTTCTGGTCTCTACTACATGGCCCTTGTCTGCGGTCTGTGATAGTATTGTGCATAGATGGAGAATTCCCTGCAGTAAATCACTATGACATTATTGTTGGGAATCTTAGGTGAGATACCCACATAGCTGAAGTCTGCCCCAGTTCCAGTCACCACACAGAGACAGCTTAAGGTCCAAAAACGTTTACTGCTGCAGAAGACCAGGCTTCAGTAATACAGTTCTGGATGTTGATACATACAGCTTGTAGGCTTTGCAGATACAGATACAGATATATACAAGTAGGAAGTATTTCTCTTGCTCCAGCAGGTTCAAGACTTAACACATACTCCGACTCATGGACAGACTCACCAACTGACTAATGTGCTGGCATGCCTTAATCACTTATATAGAAGGCACTGGGCCATTGCCATAGTAACTAGCTTAGCTGACCTTGCACCTGCTGGCTTTAGCTCATACATGGGGTGATTTGTGCCCATGAAAGAAATTAACCCCTTCCCCCATGTCTAATTCCCCCAACAATCACCATATTTTTTGCTCTATAAGATGCACCTTTCCCCTCCAAAAAAGCAAGGGGAAATGTGTGTGCATCTTATGGAGCAAATGCAGGCTCCATGGCTTCAGTGAAAGCAACGGGAAGCCTCCGGAGCGCAGTGGGAGCATTCCCACTGCGCTCCGGAGGCTTCCCGTTGCTTTCGCTGAAGCCAGGAGAGAAGAGGGGTTGGTGCGCACCGACCCCTCTTGCTCTCCTGGCTTCAGGGATAGCCGCCCAAAGCCTCCAGAGCGCAGCGGGAGATCCCGTTGCTTTCACTGAAGCCAGGAGAGCAAGAGGGGGCGGTGCGCACCAACCCCTCTTGCTCTCCTGGCTTCGCTTCGCTGGAGAGGCGCTGCGCAGCTTACCCTCTCTGCGCAGAGCCCCTTCAGCAAAGTTGGGGGAAAGAAATGGAAGGGGCTCTGCTTCTCCTGCCACTTCGCTGAAGGGGCGCTGTGCAGAGAGGGAGAGAATATATTTTTTTTCCTTGTTCTCCCCCTCTAAAACTAGGTGTGTCTTATGGTCGGGTGCATCTTATAGAGCGAAAAATACGGTATCTCCAGATTGCTGGAATATCTAGACCAGGGGTCAGCAACCTTTATCAGGCGTGGGCCGGTCCACCGTCCCTCAGAACATGTGGTGGGCCGGACTGTATTTTGAAAAAAAATATGAATGAATTCCTATGCCCCACAAATAACCCAGAGATGCATTTTAAATAAAAGCACACATTCTACTCATGTATAAGCATGCTGACTCCCGGACCATCCGCGAGCCGGATTTAGAAGGCGATTGGGCCAGATTCGGCCCCTGGGCCTTAGATTGCCTACTCCTGATTTAGACAGTTAGCCATACCTAAGAAGAAGGTAGTAGATTGATGCTAATGTGACTCAGAGAACCTTCCTTGGAAGCTATCACGTAGCTAGAGAAGTTCTTCTTGTTCCATTTGCAAACATAAGCATCTCTGTTCAATTTTTGAGAGAGAGAGAGAGAGAAACTTTGAGTGCAGACATTATTCTAGAAGGTTCTCTGCATCAACTAATTGGACTGGCGGAAAACAAAACTCTTCAGCAACGTCACCTCATCTTTTGACTAGGCAGGAAGGTTTGTAGACAGTGGTGCTGTTTTGTTTCTGCAAAAAATGAGATTTTGTAAGACATTTGTATGTAGGGAATATGTGGAAGGCTGGTATTTCCTTATGTTAACCTCCCCCCATTTTTCACCCTGCCCCCCTTCCCCAATCCTGCCCAGCATAATAATGTCCCCATCTAATGAGGTCAAATGAGAAAATAAAAGAGTTTCTTGTGTGAGTGGAATTGGCCCTGGTGCTCTCACAGTGGCTGAAATAGAGACCTGCCTTGGAAAATGTGGGAAAACTCTGTGCTGAATTCAAAGGCCAAGACTGGAGAAAACAACAAGGGGGACAAGAATGGTTTATGATTCACACAAGAACCCTGGAAAATGGGAACAAGAGTTTTGGAAGGTAGTGGCCAGCACTGCCAGCCTGAAACAGTCTGAAAAATGTGTGCATCGAAGCCAGACTCTGTGTCTATATAGAAAATCTAATTATTGGTGTCTGGTGAAAACATCTTCGAAGAGTGAAAATGTTCATTGTGCAAAACTCATAAGCAGTTCTGGGCAGCTGTGTCAGATGATGCTCTGGAGATCTCATGAGAACCCCAGATGGGCAAAAGCTGGCAGGCTCAGGACCTGAGAAACACCAGTTGTTACCTGACAGGTACTTACTAAGTAAGAATAAGTCTGTGGCAGAGATGGGGGACTAGGTGCTCTCAAGAGGAACACCACCCCCATTGTTAAAACCACTCTGGGAACTGAAGCTTTGCCATGCGCCCATGAGGACGTTCAGGCTGTTCTGGAATGTGCATCTGATCTGGGTGCATTTCAGTCTGTGCTGCTGAGTCACTTCTGACACTACTTCTGGCAGGAAAAGAGGGTTTGGCGACCTGTTTTGTGTTCCAAATGGACACATGATTGAAAAACTATGGTACTTGCCAAAAAGTGCAATTTTATGAAGCATGGCTTCTAGCATCACTCTGAAGTTCTGTGGAGCTTCAGGGGAAGGCTAGGATGATCACATAGAGGAGGAGTAGGATCTGAGTGATAGAGGGAATTAGGAGTTAGAAGAAATCTATTACTCAACAGGTGCTCCATCTTCCACTTAGACCGCTAGCTGTCTGAAGTAGACAGCAGTGCAGGAACCTCATCTTCCTCACCAAGTCTTTTAGTGTCTCTCTGGAGAATTTGGTTTGGCAAGTGGAGCTGGAGAACTTGACCCAGATGGAATAGAGTGCAAGCAGCGGGGAAAAAATTGTGATTGCTGTTACGCTCCATTTCAGGGGCCTTGCACTCGCAGGAATCTTGGGTGATAGCCACTGTTACTCACACTCAAGAGTAGACCCATTGAAATGAATTATTTCAATGGGTCGACTCTGCACATGACTAGCATTGGATGTTACTGTCAATACTTTTGCATATTGAGCATGAGAGTTTTTAAATTGTTGTCAGCTTCCAAAGGGACAAGTTGAACTAATTAGCAAAAATCCAACCAGTTTGCTCAGAATCTTGGCTTTCTTGCAGTGTAATCCTATTCATGCATGCTCATAATAGAGTATCACTGAATCTAAAAGGGCCACTTATTTATTTAGATTAGGGGATTAATTGGATGTGATAGGATATCTTTGCCTTCCCATCCACCCCAGGGACACATTATAAGGATGAGTGGGTGGGTTCTGCTGTTCACATATACGAAGGAGCGTATGATGGAAACCAGGAAAACCCCACCTTTACATCAGCTTTACCTGGTGTTGCTCCGTTGCTTAGAGTAGAAGCCTGACTTCGATACTGGAAATGAACTGGGTGAGGAGAAGAGTGTTAAAGCAATGGAGTGCAGTGAAGTTGAGTGGGACAGGGGAGGAGAAGGGTTGCGGTCGTGTTCCTTTTCAGGAAAAGTATAGATCCATACACTGACATTATGGTTGCATTCAGGCATCGTGCTAAAGTTTAAACCGTAGTTTAGCATTAGGTGAAAAATCCCAGGCAGTCCTCAGGCTTGCATATTCCTTGCCCTGGCTGTGAGGAAGAGCTCAGAAGATTTCACTTCTCTTTTCCATTAACTGCAGTTTAGTGCTTTGTCTGAACCCTAAACTATGGTAGATGCTAACTATGGTTTGTTTAAACAAGCCATCATCATCATTTATTTGTATGGCACCTTTGCATAGTAAACCATGCTAAAGGCAGCTCACGTAGTCACTGTCAGTGAATTCATGGTTTGGAGTTTGCTTGTTTTAAACAAACCCATAGTAACATTAACCTCACTGTCAGTGTAGGCAGTAAGCCAAAATGGAAGCAAAAGCTGCCCAACTTTCTCCTTGCAGTTGCATGATATGTGAACTTGAGGCTTATCCAGCCTTCTAAACAATGGTTTAGCATGATATCATGTAGTTTAATGTGTCTGCCCAGTCACGTCTAATTTTAGTTATGCATAGGATTACAGTGTAGAATTTGAAATTCTTAATGCAAAAGCCATATGATGCCATGAAGCCAAGCAGGTTTAGGCTTGGTCAATGCCTGGTTGGGAGACTTCCTTGAAGTCCGTTAAGGAAAGGAAATGAATGAATAACATGTTCCTTCATTTTCTTCCATACATTGAACTGACCCTCATTTTCTGAACTCACTGAAAGTCCCTAGGAGCTTTGAGTCAAGGGTAACATTCTTTTTATTTTCTGGTTACAGAGCTGCATGCTTTTGGGAGGCAGAAAGACCACAGACATTCCACTTGAGGGTTATCTCCTAACTCCAATCCAGAGGATTTGCAAATACCCACTGCTCCTGAAGGTAACACAAAACAAAGCATTTGTACTGATTTGTAAGTTGCACATGTGGTTCCGACTTGCGTTTGTGGAACGTTAACACACTTGCAAGTTTGGGTGGAAGAAGACTAGTCCGTTGTGATGTGCTTGTATAATGCTTGCTTGGAGTTCTCAAGAAGACCAAAGGTGACCTTTGACCACCCAGAAGCTGCTGGACTACAATTCCTATCATTCTTGACCATTGGCGATGAGGACAGGGGCTGATGGGAGCTGGAGTTCATCAACATCTGGAGAGCCACAGGTTCATTAACAGACAATGGATCTTACTGAGCGATCTTGACTTGTTTTATTAAATTTCACACGTGTTGTACGCTGGGACAGAAATGATCAGTGGTGAGGTGCAGCTCCTCTCAGCATGATCACACAGCAGCCTTATTTCTGTGATTCTTCCCTTTTTCCTTTATCCATGCCCAGGGCCAAATCACAATGAAGGTTATCTGCATCATGGAGGGAGGGACTTCTGTTCCTCTTCCCTGCTTCTAAAGCACTGCCTGCAGCTGAGTGTATGAGCTGTAGTTTGATAATTGGCCAAGCGAGGAATCATCATTTGTGCAAAGCAGCAGAGCACTTGAACTCAGCTTCTGATCTGATTGAAATTAAAGGGCCCTTAAGGGTAATTTGAGTTGGTCAGCTGACACAACAGGACAATTTTTCCATGTAACGTCTTGTGCTCGAACCAGGACTCACTTGGTTCATTGATGTTTACTTCTGAATTGGATTTGATTGGGAAGTTATACTGTAAGTGGCCATTCTGAAAACCCCTCTCAGTTGACGTAACTCTCAGCAGAAATCATTTTTGTAGCCTAAATTGCACCACTTTTGAGAAGAGACAAAGGCTTGTACTTTAAAACGCGGCAATAAAAAATGATATATATTTTTCTTTTAGGGACAGACATTCAAAGTATAGTTTCCTCATGTATGGTTAATTAGTATTATTTTTTAAAGAGGTCTATAAGGCCCCTGCAAGAACAACACAAAAAATGTAATAAATAGGCAACAGTGACTACACATAAGAATGAATATGATTGCTTACCTGGCTTCTGGCATAGAAGGGGGAAGTTGCTATTGTTTGTTTTTGTATTTCTTGTTATGCTCAGTTTCTGTGTGACTTCATACCATATGTGTATCATTGAAATCCAATACAGATTATTAAAATTAGGACAATTAGTATAGGTGGTAGGAATGCGAGAGAAATTCAGTTCATTTCAAATTTAAAAGTGAGTACCGTATTTTTCGCTCCATTGGACGCACCGGACCATAGGACGCACCGGATCATAGGAGGG